GATTTGCAAATTCTACCATCTCACTAGGGCAAAATTATATGGGGACAGCATAGACCATTAAAAGCCATTAGCTTTACAAAAGACCCGTCCTTCGGTCGCCAAGATGGGCCAATCCAGCAGCGTGTGCTTTTGGACACTACATAATGGCAGTTTTGCTACTCAGTCTGACCCCAGGATTTGGGAAATTCCAGCATCTCACTAGGGCACAAAATATATGAGGACAGCATACACCATTAAAAGCCATTATCTTTACAAAAGACCCGTCCTGCAGTCGCCAAATGGGCCAATCCAGCAGCGTGTGCTTTTGGATTCTGCATAATTGCAGAATGGCTACTCAGGCTGACACAAGATTTGGGAAATTCTACCATCTCACTAGGGCGCACAGCTCCAGGCAGACAAGAAAACAACACAGCCCCGCACAGCAGGAGTCATTTGCAAGGAACCATGGGCTCCAAAGCTATTCCTAACCTGCAGGCCAACCCTTTTCACAACACAATCTTCGACAGATCCTTTTGTGCTATGACTATGAAGCCCAACACAAAGTAGAGGAGGGAATAACAGCTGGGGCACAACTGCCATGCAAACCGGCACATGCCTTGCATTTTGAACTCGGTTGGAAACACTGCCTGCAAAGCATGTTAAAAGTTCCCAGGAAGCTGGAGAAACGCCAAGAGACGCACACACTCTGATCTGAAGGAAGGAAGGAAGGAAGGAAGGAGGGAAGGAAGTGGGGTAGGGAGATGTTCCAGGAAGACCCGTCGTGAACTTTAAACACCAGGCGTCTCCATGTTAAAATCGGTCTCTCCATCAGAGGGGCCGCCGGATGGGTGTGGATCCGTCCCAAGTCAGCAGCACCTCTCCTACGACCGTCCCCTTTTTGAGGGTCTCCCACAGATGTGTTCCATGGCTTAAGGACTCTGGAATAGCCTTCAGCTTTTAACGCCATCCGCGCTCAAGGCAGACTCAGACGGAGAATTATCTTAGAACTAAAGAGCTGGCAGGGACTCTCGTCAAGCGCAGGCAGGCTCCGTGGGGGGAATCGAACTCCCAACCTTTGGCTCTACACCCAGAGGCCTAAACTCCCCCGAGCTACCCGACAAATGTTTCATTTATGCCCTTTCTCTCGGCGTCGATTCCTTTGCCACCTTGCAAGCCGAGGCCTTCCGCGCCGAAGGGTATTATGGAGGCACTAATCTGGTTTAAATCGAGGTTAAGCAACCTCTTCGGTGCAGCGCCTGGGGTCCCAGCGCCCTCACATGCACGCCAACCCACCAGCCCATTGGCTACCTGCCCCGGCTGGGCCGAGCCATTGGGGGGGGGGCTACCGCCTCTGATCCCTGCGTGGGTCTCTCTCTTTCTCCTTCTCTATTCAAATCTCTCTCCTGGCACCATCTGGGCACAGTATCCGACCGCTAACTCTTGCTTCCTCCATCCTGCCCCAGTTTTGAGCCGGCCAGCAGGGTGGCTGCGTGGCACCAGGGCTGCGTCTTCTGGATGCCCCCCCCATGTCTTGGCATCCCAATCGGGGAAAGTGGGGGGGGGAGAGATCGGTCAGCCCTACCCCACTCCTGCGCCTTCCTTGTCCCTCTGCGCCCCCCCTCTTTTCCCCGTATGGTATCCATGCAAACCCACCCTTCCCTCGACTTTGGAGGAGGGGGCGCACTTTTGAACTGGCGCTCCCGTGGATCCCCCCCCACCAGGGTGCCACCTGTCAATCCGGATTCCAAAGTGTCCCAAGTTGGCCCCTCACCTTCCCCGGGTTTTGCGCAGCTCCCTTGCGGGCATCCTCAGCTTTTTTTTGGCAGCTCCCGGCCAGCCAGCCAGCCCTCCTCTCCCGGCGGCGGCAGGCGGAGGCGGGCAGCGGAGCCCAGCCCAGGCTTGGCGCTCGGGGTGCACGATCCTCTGCCTCTCTGTCGGTCTCTCTCTCTCTCTCTCTCCCTCCGTCCCTCCTCCAGCACGCCCGGCCGACCAGCCTGGGCGGAGGAGAGGGTGCCCGAAGCGGAGGCGGAGAGCCAAGTCCTGTCGAAGGGCCGCGCCACCTCCTGGCCAGGGCGCGCCACGACCCGCCGGAGAAATGCATCCCACTTCATAATCAGGTCGCTTCCCACGTTCTAGCAGCAGGGAATGCGTGTATTTGCCGTCACGTGTACAGGCAAGCAGGGGCCATCAAATCATTCCCGGTTTATGTCAATCAGCGACCTCCCGAATGTCCTGTCATTTAGAGTCAGGCTCTCTTGCAAACCTAAGGCTGTGGTTTCCTTAATTGAGTCAATCCATCTCACTTCTCCCCTTCCTCTTCTCCTGCTCTCTTAACTTTCCCCAGCATTACTCTTGTCAAGTGACAGCAATGGCCTCGAAAAGGTCTTACCAGGAAAAGTCCTCTAAAACTAAGGTTGTGGCTTCTTGGACGGGCTTAGTCCCTTTCACATCTGCTCTTCCTCTTTTCCTGCTTCCTTTTGCCAGCAACCCTAGGGATCAGTGCCTTCCTAAAGCGTCTATCGCTAACTAATTTAGCCTTCATTAATGCAAAAACCTTCTCCCCTTGTGTGTGTGTGCAGCATAGATGTTTTCCACACTGAGTTTCCCTTAATGCCTGTGTGAATGAGTTTGGGAAACTCTCCCCCCCCAAAAAAAATCTGCCATTTGCTGATACAGTGCTCCTGAACAGGGAGGCTCCATTTTCTTGGCTTACCAAGATGGCTTCCGCCTCATCCTTCAGGAAGAGGTGTGGGAGTCAGTGGCTGGGCACCCCATCTTGTGACCGAGAATTCCATAAATTGTATATGTGGGTGCAACAAAGAAGTGTTTATATTGCAAGTAAATACTGTACATCCAGCACAGTCTGTTATTCCAGAAGCTGCATGGCACAAAAGCAGCCCATTGGTGCATCTAGCTGCCTGTTGTTCCCAACCTGGCGCCCTCCCAATTTGCAAGATAGTCTCCCTCGCCTCGCACTGCTTAAAGAAAAACACAGGTCGCTGGATCGACCATGTCAACAAATAAGGAGCAGGCCTTTTTAAAGCTAATGGCTCTTAACTGCTCATTTATAACCAGATCCCCCTTCTGACAGAGGTGTGTGTGTGTGTTCTGCACTGTCAAGTTATAGTGACCCTCATGGGGCTTTCAAGGTAAGTGAGACATTTCAGGAGGGTTTTTTACCAATTACACTCTTCCAGTGAGTTCCCATGGCTGAGTGGAGAATTTGCAACAATATACTGATAATCCACTTTCTCCCCCATTTACCATCATGATTGCAGCTAAGCTCAGAAAAACCTGGAGGGTGGTAGACGATGTCACAGGCAAGCACAGCGGCTGTGAAGAACGTTTTGCATCTTTGGAGCAATAATGTTTTACCACCCTCTAATTGCGAAGCTGCCATCTCGTTTGTTGCTACCCAAGGACACATATTTCTCATTATGAACCAGACTCTCAAAGGATTCCCATTCATGGTTGAATATATCTGCCCACAGAAAACACCCCATAATGAGCTGAAACCATCGAACTTAAATCTTTATTATTATTATTGTGCAGCTTCAGACAGGGGAGTGAATGACAACTTACCTCCAGTCAAGCTGCACAGTATTTAAGGCTGCCCAAGTAAGTCCTATAAGCACCCCTCTCTCTCCTAGACATTGAATTAAAGCAACAAACAAATACATTTAATACCTAATTATTTGAGGATCTTTCTCACTCAAACTAATGAAAGGGCTGGGCTGGCCTGAAAAGAACTCTGCCATCAGTTCTTCCCCCCCCCCATCCAGAAAATAAAGACGAAGAAACCAACAGAAAGAAGGCATTGTTTTATTATTATTTAAATCTTATTCCACAAGAAACAATGTTCACTAACAAGATTTTTTATTATTATTACAACTTGTATTAAATAACACTGTGTTAAATATAAAATACTCATTTAAAAAAACGCATACGCGACAGATGGTTTAAAAGACTGGACGTTTTGTTTTTCTGTGCCTTTTTTTAAAAAAAATCACTCAAGATTTCATCACAGACATTCTTCTGAAGTTACAAATTCGTGAAATGTTAGTAGAAAACAACAGGACAATCAAAATAACCCATTCTCACCCTGATTTTACAAAGCATAGAAATATCCAGAAATTTATATATCAAGACTTCAAGAAATCCAAGGTTATCCGGATGGTACATAACTTAGGAGCAAGGTTTTCAAGGGTGGCAAACGAGGTTATGTTTTCAAGGTGCCCAGTTTTTAACTGGGTCATCATAACCATAGACCGAAGAGTGGATATAAAGATTAGGGTCATTTATTCTCTGTTTTGGATATGAGCACCAATGGAGTTTAGGTAGCCAAAAATAACTCCAGGCGTACGCAAGAGGGAGGGATCCATAGATTTGTAAAAAAAGACAAAAGAAGAGAAATCTTCCCGATCAGAAGGGGAGAAAAATCTGCAGAATGAACAGAACAGGGAATGTAGAAAAAACCCTGTACAGACTGTTGCTAGCGTGGGATGCAATATGCATCGTATTGTATACATTCCTATTATATTATTTTAATATTATCTGCATGTCAATTGCCATGAATTTTAAATCTGAATTTTTGAAAAGTTAGGTAGGCTGACCGTGCACAACCATGGGGAAATGAATTCAAAGTTGCCCTACAGACTTCTGTTTGGAGTCAGTGGCTAAATGCCATTTTTAAAAAAACATGCAATTGGAGACGGAATTGTGCCAGTGATTTTATGTTCTTAATAAACAGAGACAGGTAACCTCTCCATTTTTCCTGTTTCTCCAGTTCCACATCAGTCCAGCACCAACTGCACATTTTTTTAACTGTGCATTTTCCCCCACTGCACATTTTGTGCCCAGCTGCATCCTAAAACAAAGAAACAAACCCAACCTTGCAGGGAGCATGCAAACCTACCAGCACCTCCCCTCTTTTCCCCACTGCACTCTGTAGGTCAGCCTCCATATGTCAAAGGAGCAGTGTTTTCGGTGTAATCCTACAAACGCAGCAGAATGAAGTGGTGCAGATCATTAGATGGTTGGGTACCAAATGCCATTTTAGACAGGCCTACCCCTTTTGTGGTTTGCAGGTGGAATCATTGGTTTAAAACCTCTCTTTATAAAGAGAATTCTCACCAATCAAAATGTATAGAGAGGGGAGATACTAGCCCGGACTATTGCCATTTTTCTATTGGGGGGCAGGATTTGCTATGTACTAGACTAGAGCGTTCAGAAATGTAACCCTCTACTCAATGCTGGATGTGGCTTGGTCCATTCTATCACTGCAGCGCTCTATCACTTCATTCTTCTACAGCCCAGGCTTCAATGACCACAGTTTGCTACCAGATGTTTCTTCCATCATCATTGTTATCACTATCAGCAGTGGTTATTACTCTTAATAGTAAGAAAGAATCCAGTGCATTTTCCTCTTTACTGTTTTTACTATAACAGATTAACGCAGGTGCACTTCCTGGAAACTACTACTGTTATCATCTGGGAGCAGAAATAGTGAAGGTCTCAAGGACCTCCAGAAAGAGAAATGCAAACTTAATAGGAAGTAGTAAGAGTCTGAAGGCATGAAATCAAAAAGCAAAGTTATGAATGGATTTTATATATTCATTTATTTTATTTCTGTACCAGCTTTCTCCCAAATATGGGACCCAAAGCAGCTCAGGAAGTAGGAGAAAAACCTTGGATTTCTGATCTACCTGGGTAAAGGCAGAAGGCATTTCAAGACCAGAAATTTCAAAGAAAAAAAGATAGCAGTATATATAGATATATACAACATGTATTAAGAATTCTATCTCTTTTCGGCAGTTGTGACATCACAGCTGGAATTTGCTTCTTCCGGAGTTTTTACCTCCAAAATGTGAGTTGTCTAGAATGCTATTTTTCAGCATCTGTGTCTGGCAACGAAAGTGGATTTGGAATTCACAGAAGTAAGACCTTAAAGTTAAATTCATTCAAGAAAGGCCATATAGAACTCCATGCCATGGGGGAAGAGGATAAACGCTTGATTCCACGCATCCCACACAGAGGTTGGAGTGTTTCACTTTTTGGACTGGGACTCCCATGATCCACCCATCCAGCACAGCTGGCTGGCTGGATTATGGGAGTTGGAGCTCAAAAAAGAAATTTGTTTCCGTCTGTGATCCCACCGAGCTAAGATTGTGTCTACGATGCCGTAAAAGTGTGAGGTTTCATTTTGGAACTCCAGCTGGGATGGAACAAAGAAAAGAAGACAGAAATGCACTATGATATAGAAAACGGTCTGGGGACCCCCCAGGAGTCCCTCTGCAAGGAATGTACAGAGTTGACCATTGGCTTAGAGAGAAAGAAAGAGGGAAGGTTTCCCCAGCATCCCCGGAAAGACCTGGAATAAATTCAAGTTTCAGTAATGTGTAAGGCATGTCAACACTGGAAACTCCCACCCATCCATCCATCCATGCATGAGTTGTTACATCAATCTCTCTGGATCAAACTAGACCATACATTTAGAACTTCTTCCTTTGTTTTCCATTTTGTTTTTGCCAAGAAGATGCTCCCTCGTGGAATAAAACAGGTCTCTTCATCATGGCACATGGTTTTCCTCACCTCTGTATCTTGCATTTAGCGTGCTTTGATTTGTGATTGGTCATTAAACAGTGAACGTGGGCTTCTTTCACAAATTTGATTGTGGAGGCAAGATATCACTGAGAAAATCCCCTTGTGGGAGGGAAACCAGGAGGGAATGTACACTTCCCTCCCATAGGTTAATCAGAAAGATGATTTACAGTCATCTTACAGTCTAACTTCGCCCACATCGCTTCTTCCTTCATCCACATGCATCTAGCTGAGATACTTTTCATTGCACTGAATCCAGGAGAAAGTGCCATTTTAAGGCCCCTTGAACTCAGTGGAGCTTTTAAAAATGCTGGATCAACCTAATATTGTTCAGCTATTTTTGCTAATATTTTTTTTCAGTGGCTGAACATGGTGTCAGGCAAAGTCAAGAGCATGGCTGTTTATAATCCACCAACTCCCAAGCATGTTCCCTGTCTTTCATGTTTTGAAAGGTTGAAATGATTCGACATTCAGAAATGATTAACTCTCCCATTTTGCTGTACAGTAGGATTGCGGTATTTGTCGTATCCAAGCCCCACGCAGATACAGAAAACTGTGGATAACAGCAAACCCTAATTGCATCTTGGAAATATGCATTTCGGGTTTAACAAAAAATATTTTTAGTATTTTCAGACCATAGATAACTAACACCATGGACGCTGATCACATGGATACAGGGGTCCTACCATATTTTAAATTCATGTGAAATTTCAGCACTATCCAGTTAAAAATAGCAGCAGGAGTGGGAGGTTTTTAACTGTTCTGGGGCAGCCGCAGATTGACCTTATGCACCAAAGAGGTATAGATCCTTGCTGGACGCCATACCTTTTAACACATTGCCCAGAAATTTGCATGGCTTGATTCAAAGTGCATTACAGTGAAGTGAACGACACCAAAGTGCATTGGAGTGCATTATGCCATTTTTTCTCTCTTTAGTGCCAGATATTTTCTTATCTCCTTCCGTGTGAGAAATGCTCTAAAAGGGAAGGAATGACAGTAGTGCCTAAGAGCGCAGTCCCATCAGGTCCTCCCATGTTCGTGGCTGGAAGGTGTTGGGGATGATGTATTAGTTTATCTCTGCCAGCAGAGAAGAATACTTCCAAGTGGTGGACTCCAGAGGGATAATAACGTAATGGTGGTGCAGGCAGAGTGAAAACTGCCACCGTTATTCTCCCACCAGTCGTAGCAGATAGAAAGCCTCAAAATCCAGTATTCCAATTTGTCAGCATTTCTGTCCGTTGGTAAGGAGGTGACTATAATAAATACAAGATCCATTAAATGGAATAACCCCGGGGGGAGAGGAAACACCCCTAAAGCCACTGCACTGCTCCCCATTGGATCATAAGAGATGATGATTTTAATAGCTACCAAATGTTAGGTTCCTTCATTCAAACAAGGTAAATCTTATCCGAGCCTTTGACTGGAACCACTTTTAGGAAATCACCTTATATACTGTAAGTTAATGTTTTGCTTCAGTCAAAGTTTGCAAAGACTTTTTTTTGGCACCGCCGATCATCGCCTGCCATCACACCAGATTTCCAGCTGGCGATATCAGTCATGCAAGCTGACAAATTAGTGGGCTAGTGAATCCGCCTTGGGTTTTAGCCTGAATTTCAAAGGACCTGTCCAGTGTGCTGAACTCTGGTCCCCAAAATAGGATCAGCACCTTGGAGTGTGCTGTTAAACCTCAGGCTAAAATCCGGAGGGGATTGATCAACCCACTTAACGCCATCTCCCACTTGATGTGGAAGATTCAACCTAGGACACTCAACTGTCCACAAACCAGTTGGTTAGAACCTAGCCTCAAGATTTTACAATTCTGAGGAAAGCAGTAGGCTGTCTTAGGAGCGTGTCCCACCATTCGTGGACTGCCTGTTCTCCACCCGGGATGAAATGTAGTGCTCATCACATTTGTCAATAATAGGGGGGGAAAACACTCTGGTTTCCATCAAAAGACCTGGAAACTGTTCAAGTGCACGGCAGCTATGGTTTCAAAGCCCAGGGTGCTTTGGAAAAGGTAGGGGGAAACTGCATGCTGTAATCAACCTAAGCTCTTGAGCTGCCTGCCCTTTGATGGTACAGGCTGTGACATCACAGCAGCTAAGCCAATGGCAGCCAGAGCAGCCACAACTCCTTTGTTATCAAAGCTTCTCTTTGATCTTCTAGACCAAGTCAGGCAATACCATGAGGAGCAGTGGGGCAGGCAGACAAGATCACGATCATGTGCGGGTCAGAGGAAGAAACATGGGGACAACACCGGTAATACTGAGAACACAATACAGCCGACTTGTATTAAATTGTCAGCCTCTTGCCAGCCTCCAGTGCTGATTTTGTGCCCATAAATTTGTGTCGACGAACTGGCAGGAATGTGAGAGAATACTCTTTCCAAGACTCAGCCCAAAACTTCTCCTCTTTTCAGTGGCTGAGATTCTGTTGCTCAGTACAGTAAGTTGCACTAGAATAGGCCTATTGAATCAATGGGGATTTCGTGATCCAGTTCTACCGTATGTTCCTTTGATTAACATGGGCCTACTCTACTACACCTACTTTGGTGCCGTAGGTTGCAACTAGAGTAGCCCCATTAGTAGCCATCCATTGTTTCTTGAGTCCCAAGACCCTTCCCTTCCAGATTTTTGGACATGACCTGATTTTTTTTAAAAAAATAAAAAATCCTCCATCATCTGGAGCAGAATCTGGAAAAGGATAAAAAGTAAAGCATCCTTCTGAAGAGGATGGAGAAAGGATGAGCGTCTGTTGGGAGAGTTCTCCAGAACGTTGCATCTCAGAATCCTTAAGGCATGTGTCTACCTGGAAGTTTTAGCCTCCACTGTGTCTGGCCGATAAAGGTACCTCCAAATGGCATAATAATGAGTGCCAGCTCCGAGTGCCACAAAGAGGTGCCAGATGGCGTGGGCGAAGGGGATCCGTCCATCACTCTTGAAGAAAACGGTGCCCAGGCAATAGAAAAACCCGCCAGTCACCAGCTCTGAGAGGCCATCTGTGTTGGGCTGAAAGAAGCAAACATAAGCTTGAGGGCACTCATGATGAGACCCCAGCAGGCCTGAAACTTACTTAGGGTCAAACCTACACATTACAGACAACATGTCCTTGGAAGAGGGGATTTCACAACAGAAACGTCTCCCACCTCCCGTAATTTGCATATTAGCTTGTTTCCGTTTGTGATTGGTCTTCTGGATATAAACACAGGCTCTGTTCGTGCACTGACCGTCTCAGGCGTGGAAGACTTCTGGAATCATGTCTCTGAAGCACGTGATTTCAGTTAGCACATTGTATTTGCTGTAATGTATAGTTTGGCCCCTGGGTTTATGGTTTCACTACTGCATATGAAGCTCGGGATCTAGATTTTTGAGAGCCTGCTTTCTTTCCTACAGATCTATTCAATCTCAACTGGATGAATTGGGAAAACTTTCTCGGTAGTGTCATGTGCTTTTGAGGTTCACCTCACAGCAAGGTTTGGAAGAGGGCATATAACTAGAGCTTTGAAACTGTACTTTTTATACTACAGTAGCAGTGTTAGTCTTACCAGCACAGCCCCCTAAAATAGTAACGTTTCCAAATTCTGGCACTCACTGGCCAAAATTGTTTTGCTCAGCTTACGAAACCACATCAATTTAAATATTCTTAAATTAACCCTGGCCTTTGTACATCCTAGGACAGGGTAGACAGAACAGTTGGGTGCAATGAAAAGAACCACGTGTTAACAATCAGAAATAATTAAAATGACAACCCATCCAAGCTTCAGGAGAAGTTGTCAAAACAAAGACAAGGAAGAAATCAATGAAATAGACTTTGGTTCACATTTTTTCTGGATAACTTACCATGGAAAGAATTACGACAGCGGGGAAGAAACCCATGATTACATAGCACACCAGTTCCACCAGCTTATAACTGGGAAAAAGAAAGACAACCTGCTTTAAATAAAAGTGGAGTGTGGCCATTATAAAATACAGATGCAAGAACAGGCAATACCTGTACAGGCCACTAATATATATATATATTTTAATTGTCCAATATGCAAGTGGAATTTATCCACAAAAGCTTGCATATTTGTTGTTTGGCCGTGTTCCCGAGGTTTTTCTTCCTAATGTTTTGCCAGTCTCTGTGGCCGGCATCTTCAGAGGACAGGAGACAGAACTCTGTCTGTGTTCTGGTGTAGTGTGGGGGACAATTGAGTATTGGTAGCTGCGGGCTAAGAGTTTTTGGTTTCTTGAAAAGAACTTCTGGTGTAGTGTGTGGGACAGTTGAGTAATGGTAGCTGCAGGATAAGGGTTTTTGGTTTCTTGAAAAGAACAACAACCTTATCCCACAACTACAAATATTCAACAACCATGCACGCTACACCAGAACACAGACAGAATTCTAGCTCCTGTCCTCTGAAGATGCCGGCCACAGAGACTGTCAAAACATTAGGAAGAAAAACCTCCAGAACACGGCTAAACAACCCAAAAAAACCCACAACAACCAAACCAGGTGAAGGTGGTTTGTTGAGTCCCTTGGCAGAGAAAGAATCCAGGGTTTGTACTTAGTGCCTTTCAGAGAAACAAATTAAGAAAATGTAGCTACAAGTGTTTGCATAAATTTCCCCCCCATTAAGAACCAAATTTCTGCGTTCAATTTCCATTAGCTGTTCCTACTGCAAGCGGAATCAATTAAGCAGCATGCGCAAATACCCTGCTTTCAAATCCCGTCAACCAGAGTTTTTTAATTTTTTTAATTTTATTTATATCTCATGTTTCTCTTTGCAAACAAAATTTGGGGGAGAGGGGTGCGGGGGAACGGAAGCAACCACAGTAGAATGCAATTAAACAGATCACCGTCATACAAAACGTATTAAACCACATTAATGTATCATCATATTAGATCCATGTGGAGTGGGGGAGCACGATAGCTCTGCCGGGACAAGTCAGAAGCAGAACATTCTCTCTGTAAGCCTTCAAGATTAAAAAATTATTTCTAGCGAGTATGAAGCCACAAAACCTGGTTATGTATTTTGAAAGTTTGCACAGAGGATCCGTGCTTTTTAATTGTGTAGACAGTATGCTGATCTATAGGAGAACCAAACAAGACAGTAATGACTGAAGATAACGTGTCCAGCATTGTTCAAAACACTTGTGGATCAATTTTATCATCATCATCATGTGCTGTCAAGTCAATTCATATTTCCAGTGATCCTGTTTATGGTTTTCCAGGCAGAGAAGATTCAGGAGTGGCTTACCATTCTCTTCCTCTAGGGGGAGCCCTGGGACTGTGTGCAACTGGCCCAAGGCCACCCAGGCTGGCTCTACTTGCAGGAGGCACAGCGGAGAATCGAACTCCCAACCCAGATACCCAAACCACCAAGCTCTCAAGCCAGCGCTAATTTTATAGTGTCCATTTATTTTATCTTATCTAATATCCTGATTTATTTTACAGAAAACATCCCCTGTGATGAGACAGCAGTGCCAGAAGGTGAATGTTTGTGATTTGCAAAACTAACATGCAGATATTTTTCCCCTCTGAAATAAAAGCAGGAGGCAAAGAGATTAAACATGCGTTATCTAGAAAGTATTTCATTCCACCAGGGGGAGCTTTTTGCCAACTTTGGGCCAGGAAGGAATAATTGGGAGCCACCGAATGGGCTCCGAGGGAGGAGATGCTTTCAGTCAGAGGACCCCTGTCACGACCATTCAGCATTGAGGGAAATCCGTCCACCTTCCCCTCCTGAATGGATTTTCTGTTCCAAGAAAGGAACAGAATGGAATGAAGTAGTTGATCCCCAATGGAAAAAAAATGGGAGATTTATAAGCGAGAGTCAACATAAGGATGCCTTCTACAAACGGGAGGAGGAAGCACCGAGGAGAAAACGTTTGTATTGAAGCACTCAGAAATAAAAAGGGCTCTGCAACAAAATGATGCAGCATGAAGCACAGCCTCTGCTCACTTTGTTTCATGTATAAAAAGGGCTCTGCAACAAAATGATGCAGCATGAAGCACAGCCTCTGCTTACTGTTTCATGTTGCAGCAAGGATGATCAGGGGACTGGAAACCAAGCCCTAGGAGGAAAGTCCGAAAGAATTCAACAGGTTAAGCCTTGAGAAAGACGACAGCAGGGAGATAGGATAGCACTTTTCAAATACATGTAAGGCAGTCCTACAGAGGAGGGACAGAATCCGTTGTCAATCACCCTGGAGAGCAATGGAAGCCAAATGTAGGCTGAATATCAGGAAAAGCAGTGATGTATGGAAGTGAGAGCTGGACCATAAAGAAAGCAGACCGCTGAAGAATTGATGCTTTTGAATTGTGGTGCTGGAGGAGACTCTTGAGAGTCTCCTGGACTGCAAAGGAGAACAAATCTATCCATTCTGAAGGAACTCAACCCGGAGTGCTCACTGGAAGGACAGATCCTGAAGCTGAGGCTCCAGTACTTTGGCCATCTCATGAGAAGAGAAGACTCCCTAGAAAAGGCACTGATGCTGGGAAAGAGTGAAGGCAAGAGGAAGAGAAGGGGGCGGCAGAGGATGAGATGGATGGACAGTGTCACCGAAGCTACCAACGTGAATTTGACCCAACTCCGAGAGGCAGCGGAAGACAGGAGGACCTGGCGTGCTCTGGTCCATGGGGTCAAGAAGAGTCGGACGCGACTTAACGACTCAACAACAACAATCAGGAAAAACTTAACTGTTAGAGCAGTACGACAATGGAATCAATGTCCTTGGGAGGTCGTAAGCGCTCCAGCGCAGAGGCATTCAAGAGAAAATTAGACAGCTATATGTCAGATGTGCTTTGATTTGGATTCCTGTGTGGAGCAGGGAATTGGACTCATTGGGTTTATAAGGAAGTAGAACCTGTATCCCTCAATTCCTGCTTTCTGTTTTCTGTATTCTGTCCAGGTTGGAGTGGCTGAAAAGGAGTGCAGATTTGAATGCAGAACTCCTGAGTCCTAGTCCAACTCTCTAACCATGATATTATTGTTGGTGGAACGATTCATCAAGGTGGAAGTCTTCCCTTGTTGGGAAGCCCCCTAGGGAACCCCCCAAATCCAGAAAATGCTCCCCTACAATATACAAAGCACATGTCCCACAGCCTTCTGTTGAATACAATTTACATCCAATTTTGTCCCACCCACAGGCTATTTTAGGTCTTCAAAGGGACCTTTTTGGAAAACTGGAAGGGACGAGCTGGTTGCCCTGATTCTAGAAAAGGCCTTTAAAATAGACGGACCAGATTCTGACATGCCGTTTTCTTTCAGAGCTTCTTACTTTTTAAACGTTTAAGTTCTGGGGGGGGGGGGAGAAACCTTGCAAAGAATCTGCTTGAGAGAGAAAAATGTGGACCCTTCCGATCCAACTCACCGTTCATGGAAAAAGAAGACGTAGATGGTCCCGACCGAGGCCATGATCCACACGAACCAGCGCATGTGGGAAGCCCAAGGGCCCAATTCCCGCAGGTTTAGCCTGGGAGAACAACAGAGACCATTGAGTCGTGGAGAGAAACAGCAGCAGGGAAAGGCGGCCTAGGAGTGAAAGGAGAAAAGGAGAAACAGAACAAAGCAAACCAACGATTCCAAGACTGCAAGAGAAAGAGGTCCCCTGGGTCTACAGATGGAAACAGGACTAGAAATGGGCACGAACTGGGAAAATGACGAATCTGGGTTGTTCGGGGTTCGCGGGTAGCCACAAATCCTGGAAAAAATGAACCGGTTTGTAATTTGTTTGTTTTCTGTGCCTGGGGGAGACCTAATGCCTCCACACACACCCTTGGCAGCTCTTCCTCCCTCAATTCCCACGATCCCCTGATCAGCCTATCAGCTGACGGGTGGGCACATGCACAGAGATAGCTGTCATTAAAGAGGATGGCTGTGGAGCGCGAAGAGAA